GGTGGGATGGAGCAGGGGTGCCCGTACCCAGCACGGTGACCAGGGCCTTGGCGGTGCGCACGGGCATGGTGAAGATGGAGCAGGTGTACTCGCCCTCGTCCGCCAGCACCACGTCGCTGATGCTGATGGTCAGCTCGTTGGGGGTGGATTTTTCCAGCTGGATCCGGTTATCCCGGAGAGCTGGGGCGGGAAAAGGGACAACGGGGTGAGCCACAGGCTGGGGGCACCACTGGGGTGGGAGCAAGAGGGGACATCGCCCTGAGCCAGCTCCGGGGTGGCACCACGGTGCTGCTCTCGATCCCAGCCCAGCCCATCCCATCCCATTTTCCCCATCCCATCCCATCCACCTCATCCCACCCATTCTACCCTATCCCATCTTTCCTATTCCTTCCCATCCTACTCATCCCAGCCCATCCCATCCTATCCCATCCCATCCCATCCCACCCTCCCCCACCTCATCCCATCCCCTCCATCCCATCCCATCCCATCCCCTCCATCCCATCCCATCAATCCCACCCATCCCATCCCAATCCCACCCCTGGACCTTGTTTCTCCCCAAAGTAGAGGGTCTGTTGGGCGGGGTTGGACCATCCCACACCACCCCATCCCATCCCATCCCATCCCATCCCATCCATCCCATCCCACCCCATCCATTCCATCCCATCCCGTCCCACCCATCCCACCCCACCCCATCCCATCTAATCCCATCCCATCCATTCTATCCCATCCCACCCCATCCCATCCCACCCCACCCCATCCCATCTAATCCCATCTCATCCCCTCCATCCCATCCCATCCCACCCCAATCCCAACCCCTGGACCTCGTTTCTCCCTGAAGTAGAGGGTCTGCTGGGCAGGGTTGGACCATCCCACCTCATCCCATCCCATCCCACCCCATTCCATCCCATCCCAATCCCAATTCCCAACTCCCAGACCTCGTTTCTCCCCGAAGTAGAGGGTCTGCTGGGCGGGGTTGGACCATCCCACCCCACCCCATCCTATCAATCCCATCCCATCCCACCCCATCCCATCCATTCCATCCCATCCCAATCCCATCCCACCCACCCACCCTTTCCCATCCCATCCCATCAATCCCATCCCACCCCATCCCATCAATCCCATCCCATCCCATCCCAATCCCGATTCCCAATCCTTGGACCTCGTTTCTCCCCGAAGTAGAGGGTCTGCTGGGCGGGGTTGGACCATCCCACCCCACCCCATCCTATCAATCCCATCCCATCCCACCCCATCCCATCCATTCCATCCCATCCCATCCCATCCCATCCCACCCCATCCTATCAATCCCATCCCATCCCACCTCATCCCATCCCATCCCACCCCATCAATCCCATCCCACCAATCCCATCCCACCCCATCCATTCCACCCCATCCCATCCCATCCCACCCATTCCATCCATCCCATCAATCCCATCCAATTCCACTCACCCCACGCACCCCGTCCCATCCACCCCATCCCATCCTTTCCCACCCCATCCCATCCCATCCCACCCCAATCCCGATTCCCAACCCATGGACCTCGTTTCTCCCCGAAGTAGAGGGTCTGCTGGGCGGGGTTGGACCACTGGAGCGAGGAATCATCGGGATCCTCCACCTGGCACTTGAGCACCACGGTCCCTCCGGCCACCACCGTCTCATCCGACGTCGTGGGCTGGCTCTCTGGGAACACACAATTCGGGAATTTGGGAATTCGGACATTCAATTCCAGCGAGAAGCACGTTCCAGAGTTTCCCCCCCGCCTCGTAAAAGGGGTCGGGCACCTGCAAAGGGACTTCTTGCCCTATTTTGGGGTGTTTTGGGGGTATTTTTGGAGTGTTTTTGGGGCATTTTTGGAGTGGTTTGGGGGTGTTTTATGGGGCGTTTTCGGGGTGTTTTATGGGGCATTTTTGGGGTGTTTTTTGGGGGGTATTGGGGGCATTTTTGGGGTGGTTTGGGGGCATTTTTGGGGTGGTTTGGGGACATTTTTGGGGTGGTTTGGGGGCGTTTTTGGGGTGGTTTGGGGGCGTTTTTGAGGTGTTTTATGGGGCACTTTTGGTGTGTTTTTGGAGTGGTTCTGGGGCATTTTTGGGGTGTTTTTGGGGCATTTTTGGAGCGTTTTGGGGGCAGTTTTGGGGCATTTTTGGGGTGTTTTGGGGGCAGT